TGGTATCTGGAAGAGCACCTGTTTGCCACCCAAGTAACAGCTGGGTATGCACACCATATTGTCACATAATTTTTAAACCTCCAGCACGCTGACCGCTTTAACTATTTACATAGGGGCCTGAGCACAAACTAACTGAGAGTGGGAAATAATAATGATAATTATAATTGCTTACTCTTATATAGTGCTTTTCTGGACACTCCACTAAAGCGCTTTACAGGTAATGGGGACTCCCCTCCACCACCACCAATGTGCAGCCCCACCTGGATGATGTGATGTCAGCAATAGTGTGCCAGGACACTCACCACACACCAGCTCTCCGTGGGGAAGAGAACAGAGTAATGAAGCCAGTGGATAGATGGCCTCCTAATAAAAAAAAATCCCATGATTATTAAGGACCAATGAGAAATTCAGCCAGGACGCCGGGGTTACACCTTTTACTTTTTGAGAAACTCCCTGGGTTTTTTAATGACCATGAGTCATGAGTCAGGACCTCGGTTTTATGTCTCATCCGAAGGACAGCGCCTTTTTACAGTATAGCGTCCCCATCACTATACTGGGGCATTAGGACCCACACTGACTGCAGGGTGAGCGCCCCCCTGCTGACCCCACTAACGCCTCTTTCAGCAGCAGCCTTAGTTTTTCCCAGGGGTCTCTCATCCAGGTAATGACCAGGCTCACACCTGCTGAGCTCCAGTGGGCTGCCAGTTGTGAGTTGTGGGGTGATATGGCTGCTGGTGTAAAGCAGGTCAGCCACCCCACAGCCCCAGGGGTCAGCCACTGCGACCTCTACAATGTGTTGTCTTGAATACCGTTATAGAGTTGCCTCCTGTTGGCTGTGCCAAGGCGTGTTAAAATAAGGACTAATGTGTCCTTAATTAAGAAGTAGTGCAAATTAACCATGTAAATCAGGAGCTACCTTTACTTCGCCAGAAGGGAATGTAATAAAATAGTTTAATTTGCAAATTATTATTTTTTTACATGTGAGTTGTAAAAGATTAAACGTGCAAAGCAGAAGTTTCTTTAATCTTCATTTCTGCCTAAAGCTGGCCTTAAGGTAGTTTGGATTGTGTAGCAAAGATGACTTGTGGATTTTCTACAGGAGCTGCAGATGCAGATCTTGCTCTTCAGAAACGGAAAGAGCGATACAGACAGGAGCTGCAGGCACAGATGGCAGAGCAGCAACGAAACAAGATAAGGTACATTTCATTTTGCTCGAAGAGTATCTTTTGGGTAAAAGGTTTTAGAATTTTTAAAGTGTATTTGACTAATTTTATCTTGTATTCAGGGAAAAGGAACTGGAGCTCAGAGTTGCAGCTACTGGTGCCACTGACCCAGAGAAACAGGTAACTACTGTGCAATTAAACTGATCATTACAACAAAGACAGTTCAGTACGAGGAAAGAAGATTACATCTTAAGTCCTTTTATGTCTACATTTATGTCTTATTTTGAGATGTAATTTTTAAAGTCTTAAATTTTCTTTTTCCTATCTGCTGGTCCTGTTATGTTATGCAGCCTGAGCTGTTAAAATCTAAATATTAAGACTAAGAATAAAGTGGGGATTTCTACTAAGTGGTTAAAAAAAGATTCTGTAGATTAGCAATATTTGATGACATCTTTGCTTTTGTTTTTCTAGCAAGACCAGGAAGAGGTAAACTTGCCTTTGTATCTTTTTACTATTTAATAGGCAAATATAGCTCTTACCCTTCTTTTCAGACCTTTCTTACAAACACGTATTAGCCCATTGTGTTTTCTGTTTATATTCAGGATGCAAGCTCTTATAGTGAAATAGTAAACTTTACAGATATGTGAAAGTCTGTGTTAATTGTTTCTGTTGAATTTTACTTTTTCCTTTTTTTAGTTTTTTTGAAGGGTATAGAGAAAACAGTAACTTTTAAAATTGTTGGTGATATAGGCTTCTATGTAGTGTTTGAAATTCACCACACTTAAGATGCTTGACAGAATAAATTGTCTCACCATATCAGTGATGACTTCTGGCTTGTAGAGGACTTTTTCCATTGGATTTGTCAAAAAATATAAATCAGTAGAGAGTACATTGATTTACTATGTTATTACTGGCTATAGG